CATAGATGCAGCCGAAACGTCAGGAGAGAATGCCTCTAGACCATGGCCATATAGCCCGAAAAAACCTACAACAACCCAGTCTCAAAAAAATATTTTTTTAAAAAATATTACATGTATTCAGAGTTTCTGTTCCATCTTTATTGCCTTCAGAGCATAATATTAGTGCACTATATCAATATTGCACATGCTGCTAGTACAAATACAACAGGAACTATTAACCACAGGTCTAGTATCCGCAGTTTCATTTATCCTCATCCAAAAAACTATGTCCTTTTAAAGCATTTTTGAAACCCTCCAGCATAATGCTATGGGATTCTTGGCCAGAACTCTCATCTATTGCCATACGATTTGCTATTATCTTCATTTTCATGTATCCACACAAAGTCTGCGAATGTGTGGATGTAGAGGCTGCACCGTACCACATTTTCTTACCAAAGAAACTTTCCCAAACTTTGGCAGTGATATCTGTGAGCAAAAGACGAAAAAGTTTGGCTCTTCCCAGGCAACAGCTGTGATAATAGTTATCCAACATTCAAGGGAAAGTGGCCTGTTGGCTCTGAGTGGAAATTGTGAGTCAGTGGGCTTAGAAAGGGCACCAGAATGAAGCCATTGTGGCAGGGCTGTGACTTCATGGGAAGTTCTGTTGTGTGTGGAAGAATCTCTTTCAAATGGCTCGGCATTCAAAGGCGTGTCGTTCTTGCGCTCTCCGTTGGCCCACGCTGTACAACAAGCAAGGGATTGTGTCAGAGAAATGTCACCAAATACACAGCTCCCATCTGGGGAGACCTCAACTGGGTGAAGGTCATTGCGTCATCTTCTAAAAGAGACCACATTCGCCCCTCGGGCAGCTGGAACTTGTTCTCCTGGAGTTCACCTGATTGGTTCCCATTATGTATCAGTCAGTTTGGACCCAAGGAACCCAAGCAGGATTATCAAAGGAAGGGGCCAGCGCTTAAGAGAAATTCATTTTTGGAACACAGATGCCTGAATCTGCTAGGACAGCGGTTCCCAACCTTTGTTCCTCCAGGTGTTTTGGATTTCAGCTTCTAGAAGTCCCAGCCAGATTGGCCCGTTGTCAGCAATCCTTAGAGCTGAAGTCTAAAACATCTGGAGGTCCAAAGGTTGGGAACCACTGTGCTATGAAATGTCTCCCAAAAAGAGATCTTAAATCTGAGTTGTAGAATATACATTTTTGCAAATGGAATTATACATTGGTTATGGTACTCAGGCTTTTCACAAATGAATGAGGAGCGACTGAAAGAGCTGGGCATGTTTAGCCTGCAGAAGAGAAGGCTGAAAGGAGACAGGATGAGAGTCATATATAAATATGTGAAGGGAAGTCCTAAGGAGGAGGGAGCGGGCTTGTTTTCTGCTGCCCTGGAGATTAGGATGCGGAACAATGGCTTCAAACTACAGGAAAGGAGATCCCACCTTAACATTAGGAAGAACTTCCTAACGATGAGAGCTGTTCAGCAGAGGAACTCTCTGCTCCGGAGTGTGGTGGAGGCTCCTTCTTTGGAGGCTTCCAAACAGAGGCTGGACAACCATCTGTTGGAGGTGTTTTGAACATGATTTTCCTGCTTCTTGGCAGGGGGTTGGACTGGATGGCCCACGAGATCTCTTCCAACTCTATGATTCTATGAATGAGCATTCCCATGCACCTCAGGATGCACCTGCACATCTGTATGCATATGCACATTACATACACATCAACTCACATTACATGTATATCTGCATGCAGGATGAGACTGTATTCACAATGCCAGTTATAAAAAATGATAAACTTTCTGCACAAAAACGTATAGATGTCTTGAGAGAATGCTACTGGAACATGGCCATACAGCCTGTAAAACTCACATCAACCTGGTAATTTTGATATTATCTCCTCTGAGAGTGTCACATGTGAGATTTGCATCCCCTGCAACCCCTTGTGACACCATTGCCAGTATGCCTATTTACTATTTCCTTGTCCAATAAGCAATACACAGGTGTTTCTGCAGCTCCAAGGAAGTAAGCATTGGCAAAGATGCACAACTACATGGGCAATGTCCTGTTGGTTAGTTGGAAGGCCATCTAGTTGAATCCCTTGCCACGTGGGAGTACACAACTTAATCTTTCCTAAAAGATGTCCACCCAAACTGTTTAAAAATCACCAAAGAAAGAGCATCTATCCCTCTCTTAGGGGTTGTCAGCTGTTACAGTCAGCAAATTTATTTTAGGTGGGACCACTTTTCTCACAATTTGAAACAAATTCATTAATAGAACTGAAATTAGTGATCATGGGGTGGATTAGGAAGTTCGAAAGCTATATCTGTAGGGAAATGAATAAGCTGCAGGCTCAGTGGCTCTCCATTAATTAGGACAAAGAGAAACTACCCAAAAAATTACATCCAAAAAATTACAGATATATAAACCCTTTTTCCTAGTTCCAACAGACCTCACTACCTCTGAGGATGCTTGCCATAGATGCAGGCAAAACGTCAGGAGAGAATGCCTCTAGACCATGGCCATACAGCCCGAAAAAACCTACAACAACCCAGTGATTCCAGCCATGAAAGCCTTCGACAATACAAATTACATCCAATTTCAGTGGGATTCAGCAGAATGTCTCTTAATCCCATGTTTCATTTAGGGTCTGTTCTATCAAATGAGTTCTGAGAGGGAAGTTATGTGTCCTTGATAGCCCTTGGATCTGACCTGAAGGCCACCAGCTGGAAGATGTTTCCAGATTCCATTGCTATGAGTAATATGTTTTGTCATGACATCATCAGCTTCCAAGAAAGATCACAAGAGAGACTAAAAAGAGACTATTGAGACCTCTACATATCCGCTTTCCAATCCGATCCTTGTATTTGGAACCAAGGAAGCTTCACTGTTTGCAAGATTTGAAAGGGAAGGGAATTGGACCTGGCACCACTTTGTCGGCGAGCTCTGATGTCAAGTTTTGCTGACTTGACAAGCAAAGGAAAGAAGAAAATAAATGAGACAATGTTCTTAACAAGAAGTCTTTTCCAACTTAGTGTCCTCCACTCAAATTGCACTGGGGGACACCTGGCTGAGCACTAACACATTTGGAAAGGTCCTAATGTTATTGTGGTCATATGTTCAGCAGTGTGAAGCTGCAGCAAAGACAAATAATATTTATCTCCGTTACCAAGCCAAGGAAGCTATTGGCCCCAATATATTCTAGATTCTAGATTCTCCAAGAAATCTCAGTTGTCAACATTTGCTGGATGTTGAGCATAGAATCGCCCTGGAACACATATAAATTCCTAGAGACTTGTTCTCTCTGGGAATCTCTTGGTTCTCCAGCATGACTCAGTTTAACTTTCCATCTGCACACGAGGAAGAACTTCCTGACTGTGAGAACCGTTCAGCAGTGGAACTCACTGCCCCGGAGTGTGGTGGAGGCTCCTTCTTTAGAAGCTTTTAAACAGAGGCTGGATGGCCATCTGTCAGGGGTGATTTGAATGCAATATTCCTGCTTCTTGGCAGGGGGTTGGACTGGATGGCCCATGAGGTCTCTTCCAACTCTTTGATTCTATGATTCTATGAACTTCTGGTGGAGGTTGACCATAAAATTGCACTAGAGTACCTAAATGTTCCTTTTTATGTATACATATTTAGTATGATGTAAGAGAAAAAAACAACAACAATGATATATGATCGTCAAGATTCAACAAGTATTCTCTCCCCGGTCCCGCCACCTCCCCATTCCCACACGTGAACCACCACTCATGGCTTCTGACACCACACCATATGGAACTAGTATCTAACAAAAATCTGTACTTGTCATTACATGAATAATTTCCCCATTTGCTATTTTAAAATCTATTTTTGTCTTCTTTGTCAAATATCCAAAGGCCAGTCTCCATCTTCTAGCAAAGTCTTCATTGTTTCCTCCCCTTAAGCCATTGGAGAATGTGGCCATTTGGATATACAGTGTTCCCCCGCTACTTCGTGGTTGGCTTTTCGCGGACTTGCTATTTTGCGGGTTTTTGCTTCTCAGTTTATGAATGGTTGCCATTGTCCAGAGCGGTGTTCTAATCCCACTTCCTGGCAATGATGGAGTGTGGAAGGGGGTTTCACCCTCTCCCCTCAGGAGAGAGGCAGCCAATCAAGAGAGATTGCAAAGCAAAGCAGAGATAGCTAGCAAAAAAAGGTGTGTGGTGCCTTTAAATCTCTCCTCGCTCCCCCAACCAATCACTGATATATATTTTCTGTTTATCGTGGGAGTTCTGTGTGCCATATTTGGTTCAATTCCATCATTGGTGGAGTTCAGAATGCTCTTTGATTGTAGGTGAACTATACATCCCAGTAACTACAACTCGCATATGTCAAGGTCTATTTTCCCCCAAGAGTGCCTCAAAAGCGTAAATCAAGTATACTGCAAATGCTTTCACTTTTCATGGGTGATCCTGGAATGTAACACCTGCGATAAGTGAGGGAACAGTGTACGCTACTACTTTTCTTCTCCAGCCCTTAATAAGTAGTTCTTCCCCCCCCCCCCCTTTCACAATTTTGCCATAATGATTCTCGCTGCTACATAACTATATTGGCAAATTTCTACATCATCATTGCCAATTCTGTTCTGAAACAAACCCAGTGAACACATTTCTATATAAAATGTTCTATAGAAGTTCTATAACTCCTGAATTAATGGCTAAATTTATGAAGGGGGGGGATGTTGGAGATGAAAAACGCAGAAAGGCACCTTATTCCATGTTTGGTGGACATGTATGGTGGTAAAAGGGTTTTGGGAAAAGGTGACTAAAGAAACAAACAAAATAAGTACTAAGAAGATAAAAAAAAAAACCCTAGAAATTCCTTAACAGAATGTTTTAATCAAATCCAGGAATAATCAAATCCATAAAAGTCAAATCCACAAATGTGGAGACCTGACTGTAACTCGGGGGAGTTACACCTGCACAGATGTCACTTGTCTCTTGTTGTTGCTGCCATAATGCTCATTTTTCCCCTTTTTTGTCATCTCATTTCAGACCAAAGATGCCCTGTTCACCATTCTCCAGGATCTCAGACCCGAGGATCACTTCAACATTATTGGCTTCTCCAATCGAATCAAGGTGTGGCAACATGACCAACTAGTGCCTGTGACTCCCAACAATATCCGAGATGCAAAGATCTACATCCACAACATGTCCCCTTCTGGAGGTAATCTTGGTCCAAAGAGGGATGGTGATGGTTCTCTGTTTTTCAGTTCACTTAAAACCTACTTATAACACAGCCCATGCAATATTATGTTTTACTTGGTTTAGGATAGAGGAATATTAGTTGAGGCATGAAGTGACACTTAAGCTGGTGTAGCTTTCTTGTAGAGCTGTATGCTTAGACTGGAAAAATATATCAGCTGAATTACTGCTTTTTGTGAAGTATTGAAGGACAGGTTGCTCCTGAGGATGTACAATTTCAAGAGAAAATGAACACACTTACAGTAGTTTATTAAGTGTGTTAATAAACTAAAAAATGAGCACTAGGAGTAGAAGAGAGGAACTGTGAAGGCAGACCTTTTAGGTCAGTGTTTCTCAACCTGGGGTCGGGGCCCCTGGGGGGTCACAAGGGGGTGTCAGAGGGGTCACCAAAGACCATTAGAAAACACAGTATTTTCTGTTGGTCATGGGAGTTCTGTGTGCAAAGTCTGGTTCAATTTCATCATTGGTGGAGTTCAGAATGCTCTTTGATTGTAGGTGAACTATAAATCCCAGCTACTACAACTCCCAAATGAAAAAAATCAATCCTCACCCCAACCCCACCAGTATTCAAAGTTGGGCATATTGGGTATTTGTGCCAAATTTGGTCCAGTAAATGAAAATACATCCTGCACACCAGATGTTTACATTATGATTCATAACAGTAGCAAAATTACAGTTATGAAGTTATGAAAATAATTGTATGGTTGGGGGTCACCACAACATCAGGAACTGTATTAAGGGGCCGTGGCATTAGGAAGGTTGAGAAACACTGTTTTAGGACTACAATAATTTGGTCAGCTTTGGAGCCAAAAGGACAAGTGATGGATTCAATACTGATAAATGTGCACTAAAAGTATTTTTCATACTTTGTAGCACCTTAGAACAACTGTGGGTTGCATAATTTTAATTCCGTTGAAATCAATGTTGTTAATGTTCTCAGATATCTCGCTTTTGCTGTGTGTAATGTCACAACATTTAGGCAGGAATCAGAGGTCCTACAAAACACCAGGTGGCTTTTTTCTAGTAACAACTGCAGGCTTGGGTGAGGAATTCCTGCTTCTTCAGGTGTGGTTAGACTACAACTCTCATCAAGCCAAACTACTGGCCATACTGAATGGGACTGATGGAAAAGGGCATCTCAGAGGACCTCAAGTCCAGCACACATAGGAGAAAACCACTACAGGATATGACAACCCTTGTCTGTTGTTTCCATGCAATGAAACAAGCAGAATGGAGAAACTGTACACTAATGGTGGAGAGTCTTTTGGGTGTGGGACAGAGAGACAAATCCAATTTCCAATTCCTCTGCAAGTTATATGACATCAGATGGCATGGTGACACTATAACATCATATGTGGGTGGAACCTGGACTTGCTCCTTCTTCTGCTCCTGCCTTGTATGTGTGTGTTCCCACTCACCAATCCCATGTGTTGTGTCTGTTTATCCCTTAAACGTGTTAGCACTAATTTTAAAAATCTCAGAAGACAATTGATCCTGTGTCGGTTAGCTTTTCTGCTAATCTGTAGACATCTGATTTGATCCTACCAAGTTAAGTAAGTTCTTAAAGCCTCAGCTTCAGCTGGCTGGGCATTTCTGATAATTGTAGTTCCTCCCATGCAGAGAAGCTAGTAGTTTAACAAAGAGTTTGGACATTTTGACACATACTGCTCCAAACAAGAGGCCAATTCTATGGTTGCTAAAACAGGTTATGTCTCTGGTTATTTCTCTAGGCACAAACATTAATGGGGCCCTCCAAATCAGCACGAAAATACTCAATGACTACATTGCCCAGAATGACATTGAGGCACGAAGCGTCTCTCTGATTATCTTCCTGACCGATGGGCGGCCCACATTTGGGGAAATAGAACCAACCAAAATCATCAACAACACCAAGGAGGCCATCCGTAACAAGTTCTGTCTCTTTACCATTGGGATCGGCAATGATGTGGACTACAAATTGCTGGAGAGGTTGGCACTGGAGAACTGCGGGATGATGCGACGTGTACGGGAAGAGGAGGATGCCGCAGAACAACTGAAAGGGTGGGTTGAGAAGGAGCACAATCTGCTTTTCTCTTTTTATCATGCCATGTCCAACCACTGAATTCTGTAGGACAGTTCTGGAGTATATATGCAAGGAGAAGGTATTATCATGGGGGTGGACTTGAATAGACCTAGAAATTTTTACGAGGGTTGAATGAAAAGTAAAGCCTCCACCTTCGTAACTCCTCAACAGATGGCAGTACTGGTATGCGGCAGGTACTGGCTTGTTCAGTAGACTCTCCTCTACAATTCCATTTTAGCGCGAAGCCTTAGCATTGAACGGTTGTGTTGTTAAAGTTCAAAGTATGGAACCCTGCACAGGCGGTCGGTCAATGCGACTTAAGCAACGTGCAGTCATTGAATTCTTGACAGCAGAAGATGTCACCCCAAAGGAGATTCATCAGAGAATGCAAGCTGTTTATGGTGATTGTTTTGATGTGGATACTGTGCGTTGTTGGGTGAGTAAGATTAAAGATGTTAAGGTGGGAACATGTGACTTGCATGACAAACAAAGAGTTGGACGTCCTGTGACAGCAACCACCGAGTTTCACAAGAAAAAGGTTGACAGATTGATTTAAGATGATCGTCGTATCACTCAGAGAGAAATTTCAAACATAATCGGCATTTCACAACAACGTGTGGGTCACATTATTGCTAGGCTTGGCTATTGGAAGATCTGTGCAGATCTAGGTTGCAGAAACAGAGTGCCGACATCTTCCGTGACGGCTTCAGAAAACTTGTTCATCATTGGCAGAAATGTATCCAGTTGTCTGGTGATTATGTGGAAAAGCAAATAGTGGTAGTTAAAGAGCACATTCTAAGGATTATTTCTGTGTTTGATTTATTAAAATATTCTCATCCAAACCCAAGTAATGAAGGTGGAGGCATTACTTTTCATTCAACCCTCATAGAAAACTGTTCTTTCTAGGAATCTCTACATTTAGCTCTTCATATTTGCAGATTTGACTTTTTGTGGATTTGATTATTCGTGGATTTGATTAAAATGTTTTGTTTTGGAACCTCTAAGTCCTCCAGTATGGTCAACATTCATTGGAGACAGACCATAGGGTCTTGCTGGAGGACCAACGGATTCCTAAAGAAAACACCTTTAGAAAGTGGAGACTAGGATTCAAATTCCTCTTCATCCATGAAAACCGACTGAGTGACCTTGGACAAGTCAAACTCACCCAGCCTCAGAGGGAAGCAATGACAAATCTGTTCTGAATAAATCTGGCCCAGAAAACTCCATGATATGTTTGCCATAGAGTTGCCATTCACTCATTCTTTCAACAGGGTTTGCTACTACCTGTGATTTCATGCAACTATACAAAGACCTGGAACATATTCTCTGTAGATATAGGGATTGTGCTGTATATTTCTACTGTTGTCCCTGGCCTTAACACTGGTTGGGAATGTACTACACAAATAACAACATTTGTGCACACAGATTCTACTATGAAATCGACACACCTCTTCTTTCCGACATCCGGGTGGATTATCCAACTGACAATGTGGCTCAAGTCACCCAGAACCTCTTCCCCAACTACTTCAATGGATCTGAAATCGTCATTGCTGGAAAACTCTTCAACAAAACAGCCAACAGATTACATGTAGAAGTGACAGCCAGCAACAGCAACAAGTACGTCCTTCTAAAAACCGACGTGGCCATTGATCTCTCTGGCAAGAACCATATTGGCGGAGCTTCCAATGTTGGAGGCTCAACTAATGGTCAGAACTATGTGGAACGGACTTGGAGCTACCTCACCATCAAGGAGCTGTTGGCATCCTGGTTGAAGAGTGACAGCAATGAGGAGAAGGAATCTCTGAGAGAGAAAGCCAAGGAGCTGGCCCTCATGTACCACTTTGTCACTCCTTTCACAACCTTGAAAATGAAGGAGCTTGCCCTTCAAGCAGAGCTCCCAAAAGAGGTCTATGTTGGCCCATTGATGGAAGGAGTTGAAGGAATCGTACAGGGACTGCAAGGTCACCGAGCACCGACTGGTAAGGACAAGTCACATTTCAGAGGATGTTGGATGATGTTAACAGATACCCTGGCAATAATTAGTAAACACATTGCTGAAATAGCTTTGTATTGTTGAAGGCTTTCATGGCCAGAATCACTGGGGTGTTGTGTGGTTTCCAGGCTGTATGGCCATGTTCTAGCCCTCATGTTCTAGTATTTTCTCCTGATGTTTGGCCTTCATCTGTGGTTGGCATCTTCAGAGGATCCTCTGAAGATGCCAGCCACAGATGCTTTTATTTATTTTATTTATCGTATCAGGAGCAACCAGACAGTTGTATTACATTTTTAACAAAACAAACAAACAGACAGACAAAACACAAAGTTTGCAAGCTTGGTAGTTGATTAAATGTCCTTTGACCAGTATCTGGCCACTTGGAGTGCCTCTGGTGTTGCCTCAAGGAGGTCCTCCATTGTGCATGTAGCAGGGCTCAGGTTGCATTGCAGCAGGTGGTCAGTGGTTTGCTCTTCTCCACACTCGCATGTCGTGGATTCCACTTTGTAGCCCCATTTCTTAAGGTTGGCTCTGCATCTCGTGGTGCCAGAGCGCAGTCTGTTCAGCGCCTTCCAAGTCGCCCAGTTTCCTGTGTGCCCAGGGGGGAGTCTCTCATTTAGGTTTTCCTGTTTCCTCATGATGTGGCCAAAGTACTTCAACTTTGTCTCTAGTATCTTTCCCTCCAGTGAGCAGTCGGGCTTTATTTCCTGGAGGATGGACTGGTTGGATCTTCTCGCAGTCAAAGGCACTCTCAGCACTTTCCTCCAACACCACAGCTCAAAAGCATCGATCTTCCTTCGCTCAGCCTTCCCTAAGGTCCACTCTCACATCCGTAGGTTACTACAGGGAATACCATGGCTTTGACTAGGCGGATCTTTGTTGCCAGTGTGATGTCTCTACTCTTTACTATTTTATCGAGACTGGACATTGCTCTCCTCCCAAGAAGTAAGCGTCTTCTGATTTCCTGGCTACAGTCTGCATCTGCAGTAATCTTTGCACCTAGAAATACAAAGTCTGTCTCGGCCTCCACGGTTTCTCCCTCTATTTTCCAGTTGTCAATCATTCTTGTTGCCATAATCTTGGTCTCGCTTGCTGGGGTGTTCCAGCGAGTGTCTCTGTAGATATTAGAAAACTATTTCTTGATTTAAGTCGTTGATGTGCTGGCTGATACCCAAACACGGGATGAGCTGGAGATGTCACTGCCTTGGTCCTTTCACCATTGGTTGCTACTTCTCGGTGGTGCAATACCGGCTAGACAGTGTCATTTCTCCAGTGGTGTAGGGCACAGATGTAACTGCGCCCTACACCACTGGTGCCACAGATGCTAGAACATGGCCATACAGCCCAGAAACCACACAACACCCCTCTGAAACAGCTTTTTCCCCCTCTGTAGTTCTTCCTAAAATGGCAAAAGTGATATTAAGGAAGGAAATTGAGGTATTTGGTGGGAGGAGAGGTTCTGAGGTGCGTATGGGGGTGGAATAGGAGTTTTTGAAAATGGTTTCATGCATTCAGGGAAACTTTCAGCATGGTTTGGGAGCAAATATTGTCTGAAAAATTACAATGGATGTTCTTAAAAAATGGGAGGGTTCGGTGGAGACTATAGGATGGCTACAAGAGTCACAAAAGAAGGATCTATGGGCTTCATGTGGCATATGAATTGTAGTACATCCATTTTGAACATAAAAGAGTCATTGTTTGGGAAAGGCATACAGTATATTGTGGAGTGAGATAACCATACTGCTGATTATATGTGGCATCCTGTTTTCCCTTCTCTGTTCTCCTTAGCATTGGACTCTGTCTCTGGAAGGCCAGCGAAGCAAAAAGTCAAGGTCACAAAAACATCAGGTAAGCAGTCAAAGCTACCCCAAGCAAATGATGTGGCTGAGTTTTCTTCCTAGCATAATAACAAATGCTCTGATATTAGAGTGCTCTACTTTTAGCCATTTCCTCCAAAGCAAGATGACTAGGCATGCCTTCCTTAGTGGGAGAAAAGCTATCAAAAGTATCTTTAAAAGTTTTGTTTAAAAAAGAATCTGCCAAAAGGAAGTTTAAAGACATCCTGTTAGTCAGTTACAACATCGGTAGAATTTAAAGAAATAATAATAATAATAATAATAATAATAATAATAATAATAAGTGATTTTGTGATACGAAATCCAGCGTATATATCTCGTTTGCCGTGACATACTGCGTTTTTGTGTCAGTAAAATAATAATAATAATAATAATAATCCTGAAAAAGTTACAGAAAATGACCACATCAAACTATTCTGGGACTTCTGAATTCAGACTGACAGAGTTTTGGAGCACAATTTTCCTGACCTCATGATTATGTTTAAAAACCAATTATGGATCCTTGATGTTGCAATCCCAGGCGACAGCAGGATTGAAGAGAAACTACTGGGAAAGATGACATGATATGAGGATGTAAAGATTGAACTTCAAAACTCTGTCACAAGCCAGTAAAGGTGGACCCAGTGGTGATCGGCACACTGGGTGCAGTGCCTAAAGACCTTGGCCTGCACTTAAAAATAATTGGGACTGACAAAATTATCATCTGTCAGCTGCAAAAGCCACCCTACTCGGATCTGCACGCATTATTCACCGATACATCACACAGTTCTAGACACTTGGGAAGTGTCCGACGTGTGATCCAATACAACAGCCAGCCATAGTGATCTTGTTTGCTGTGGACTCATCTTGTGGTTCTAATAATAATAATAATAATAATAATAATAATAATAATAATAATAATACACTTTATTTATATTCCACTTTATCTCCCCAGAGGGACTCAGAGCGGATTGCAATCTATACATATGAGGCAAACATTCAATACTTTTTACAGCAGTGAACAATGACATAAAACACAGACAGAGGTCAAGGCCTTCCCCTTCCATCTCCGGTGCCTTGTTAGTCTCGATTGGCATGCAATGTCTTTGAGAATAACTGTGACACAAGGTATTTGTAGCATAAATCTTCATATGGAAGTATTTATTTATCTCTCACATTTCTATCCCGTCCTTCTCAACTCAGGACGGCTTACAATGGGCCTCATTCTGAAGCCATTACATAACAAATTACAAAATTAAAACCACAATTAGACATAAAAGCGTAATTAACAATACATAAGCCATCATTAAAACAGTAAATAATGGTTTATTGGTAATAACAATAAACCATTATTTATATCCCACCACCATCTCCCTGAAGGGACCTAGGGCGGTTCACGAAAGCACTCAATAGCACAAACATTTAAAATACAACAAATACATAAGCAAAATAACACAATAACAATAAAACCCACATAAACAAGTTGCACAAAACATCATATAATATCCTACCAACTTGAAAGGCTCAATAAAACGCAGCTGTGGATTTATTTATTTGTCTGTCAAGGCAACCAGTCAATTGTATTACAATTTTAACAGAACAAAACAAATAGACAGACAAAATACAAGATTTGCAAGCTTGGTAGTTGATTAAATGTCCTTTGACCAGTATCTGGCCACTTGGAGTGCCTCTGGTGTTGCTGCAAGGAGGTCCTCCATTGTGCGTGTGGCAGGGCTCAGGTTGCATTGCAGCAGGTGGTCTGTAGTTTGTTCTTCTCCACACTCGGATTCCACTTTGTGGCCCCATTTCTGAAGGTTGGCTCTGCATATTGTGGTGCCAGAGAGCAGTCTGTTGGTGCCAGAGAGCAGTCTGCCTTCCAAGTCTTCTGTGTGCCCAGGGGGGAAGTCTCTCATTTGGTATCAGCTATTGGTTGAGGTTTTGGGTTTGAGCCTGCCACTTTTGGACTCTCGCTTGCTGAGGTGTTCCAGCAAGTGTCTCTGTAAATCTTAGAAAACTATTTCTAGATTTAAGTCGTTGACGTGCTGGCTGATACCCAAACAGGGGATGAGCTGGAGATGTCTCTGCCTTGGTCCTTTCACTATTGGCTGCTACTTCCTGGCGGATGTCAGGTGGTGCAATACCGGCTAAGCAGTGTAGTGGATGCGGATATAAAATGCGAATATAAAATAAACTGTAATTCATATCAGTCTTGTAAAGTGCTAGGGTGAAACAAATATAACAGATAGGGTTCTAAACATGGTCAAAGGCCTGTTTGAAGAGCCATGTTTTCAGATTTGTTCTGAAAACTTGACGAGTGGGGGCTAGTCTAATCTCTTTAGGGAGGGCATTCCAGAGCTGGGGGCTATCACCAAGAAGGCCCTTTCTCTCATCCCTACCAACCGCGCTTGAGATGGAGGTGGGACTGAGAGGAGGGCCTCCCCGGCAGATCTCAGAGCCGGTTCATAGAAGAAGATACAGTCTCAAAGATAGGTTGGACCTGAAGCATATTCTATTTCAACATTCAACATTTATAGGGGAGCGAGGGGTGGGGAGCTAACAGGAATACTGAATGGAAGTAACCTTCACTGTACTGTTTTGGTACAGTCTTCATATACCTTTTTATTGTTGACTTACTTTCCAGAAAATCTAATCCCAAATATTTTTGAAAAATGTTTTTGAAGGAGGTAGGAATCCATGTAGAATCCCTGTAGATTGATTGATTGGTTAATATTTTATGAGTTAAACTGTTAGAGCAAGTTTTCCTTATTTTTCCCCTCAATTGTCTCTCCAGCGGATGGTGACCCCCATTTTGTTGTCGACTTCCCCTTGAGCAAGCTGGCGGTCTGCTTCAACATTGACGGAGAACCAGGAGATATCCTCAGGCTGGTTTCTGATCACAAGAATTCTGGTACGATGGGGAACGATGAGGTTGGGGGTGATCAATCATTGTAGCAAAAGGAATGTGATAATAGAATAAAGTTGTAAGAGACCTCAAGGCTATCAGTCCAAACCCTTTGGCCATGCAGGTGTACACAAGTGAAGACTTCCTAACAGATAGTCATCTAGCCTCAGTTTGGAAACTTCCACAAGAAGAGACTCCACCAAACTCTTAGCCAACAAGGTATTGGTGACCTCTTACCGTTAGGAAGCTTTTCCCAAATCGTGCTGGTTCCATCTTCAATATGACTTCATTTCAAGCATTTAAACATGGTTATCATGTACTTTATTTATTTATTTATTTACAGTATTTATATTCCGCCCTTCTCACCCCGCTGGGGACTCAGGGCAGATTACAATGTACATATATGGCAAACATTCAATGCCATAGACACACAACATATATAGACAGACAGAGGCAATTTAACATCCCAGTTTTCTTGAGAATATTCTGGCCACCAGGGGAGCTGTCCCTTCACCGACCATTTGTGATACTGATGAAGTACTTCCTCATTCTTTGCATGCTTGCTGGAGATTTTTATAGCCTCATAAATTAGTTAAATTTGCCTCCCCGCATAAGCGGTACCTAAATTTCCTACTTGACAGATGCAACTGTCTTTTGGGCTGCAAAGGTCAACAGCAAGCTACACAAATTGATTGAATGCTCACTTCGACCTGGGTTGGCTTCGAACTCATGACCTTTCGGTCAGTAGTGATCTTAATGCAGCTGACTCCCAGCTAGCTGCGCCACAGTCCCGGTGCCTTCATCACCATGTCCTTTTCTTTCCATTCTTCCCTTCAAACAGCTGCTTTTGGCATAAGGAAAAGATAAGGAGTTCCAGTTCTGGATCTTTGACATACTTTGTGCTGATACAGCTGTACCAGGAGCTCCAACTTTATTTGCTTTGTATTAAATGTTTGCTTGCAGTCCAAGGTTTCAGGGATTCTGCAGAAAGGTGGCTTCCTTTGGTTGCAGTCATAGGGCAAGTCACCTGTCCATCATCGTTAAATTTTGGTTCTGCCCCTTGTTCAGGGCAATTGGGAAGGGAAGGGAGCCATTTTTAGTTAGTCTCAGTAAGGAAAGCCAATTTAGAGGACGTGTACAAGCTTGTCCTGTACAAAAGCTTCAACCCTTAAGACTTTCCGGGGGAGAACAGTCTTAAGAGCATCCAAAGACCTCCAAAGATTTCCAGGGAATCAGACCTAAAGCTTTGAGAAATTTTGGAGGGTAAACAGTTTGGAAGACCAAAGAACTCCAGCTGGAGAATCTACTGGCCTTACTGGTAGGTCCACTCGGTGCTCGAGACACAGTTCAACCTGGTAGCGGAGCCCACATCAGTAAGGCTTAGATCACAGTCAGCCTGGGAGAAGTTAAAAAGGGATTTTCCTTTAAAGTAAAGAAACAGTTATTGAAGACAATTGCCTGTCCCTCATGGGCAAGATTAGGAAGCTACCAGATGCATAAAGCCTGGAAGCATTTGTTTAACTTTATTGAAGACAAGAGAAGTTTCTGTTTGATTGCTCATTAATAAAGGACTTTGTTATACTTCACAAGCCATCTAAAGACCATTTGTGGAGGAAAATCCTTAAGAACTTCTCTTCGGGGGGCCCTGGCTTCCCACTGGGCTCAAGTTGCACGTCCTATTTTAAAGGCAATTCTTTAGAGGCCCAGCACGTGACAGAACATACTTTGTGTGTTTATTCCGTAGTCAGATTTGACATGTAGTTTGTTTTACAAATCAAATTCAATCAAATGGACCATGGAAAGTATTGGGTTAAAAATTTTCCATCTTAACAAATAAGAGTTTTTGATCTCTCCTGGAATTCCTAAGCAGCTGTGATTTGTAAGAGGATTACTCATAAGGCAGTAAAGCTCCCAACTGGCTGGGAAGAGAAAGGCCATGGAAAGAATCAAGACGATAGAACAGGTTTACAATGATGAAGGAAAACCTAATTGTTACGGAGAAATCTATATAATATAGTGCTGTGGTTTAAGAACTGGATTACAACTCTGGGCACCAGGGTTTGATTTCGCCTTGGCTATGGGAATCCACATTGGACATGTCACACACTCTCAGCCCCAGAAAACCCATGAGAGGTTTGCCTTTGGGTCACCGTAAATCAGAAGCAATTTGAAGGCACATAGCAATAATTATATGAACTTCTTCTAGTGTGTTCCCTCTGTTATTACTTCTCTTTCTACTTTCTCTCATTGTTCATGTTGTTACTTTCATTTGTACCTGTTTTGCAAATAAATAGTATTATAGGAAGTCCCCACATTATGAGCAAGATAGGTCCTGTAGGTTTGTTCTTAAGGGGAATTTGTTTGCAAGTCAGAACAGGTACATTTTTGAAGTGTAACTCCAGCCAAGAATATATATATATATTCACCATACACACACATATACACATATACATACACACACACACACACACCACACACTAACTGCTGCTCTGGGCCAAAGTGAGGAGTGGGGGCAGGGGACACTTCCACCTTGTCTCATGTGCTATTGTAGTAATATAATATAATGTAATATAATATACTGTATATGCATATAATATTTATAATATTATAATGTAATGCAATATAATCTATATAAATAAAAATCGAATGTTCGTTTGTGATATTAACAGACCTCAAAAACCAGTGGGAAAATTGGCACCAAATTTGGACAGCATACACCTAACAACCCAATGCATGTCCTTCACTCAAAATTTTTTGGTTTTGTCATTTGGGAGTTGTAGTTGCCGGGATTTATAGTTCACCTACAATCAAAGAGCATTCTGAACTCCACCAATGATGAAATTGAACCAGTCTTGGCACACAGAACTCCCATGACCAAGAGGAAATACTGGAAGGGTTTGGTGGGCATTGACCTTGAGTTTTGGATGTAGTTCACCTACATCCAGAGAGCACTGTGGACTCAAACAATGACGGATCTGGACCAAACTTGACACAAATATTCCATAGGCCCAAATATGAACACAGATGGAGTTTGGAGGAAATAGACCTTGACATTTGGGATTTGTAGTTACTGGGATTTATAGTTCACTACAATTAAAGAGCATTCTGAAACCCACAAATGACAGAAATGGGGCAAACTTCCCACACAGAACCCCATGACCAACAGAAAATACTTAAGGCCATCCAGTCCAACTCTCTTCACCAGGCAAGAAAATCTAATCAAAGCCCTTCTGACAAAGAGCCATTCAGCCATAGATATATATGATTCACACACACAGAGAGATATAATATCATAGATTTGAAAGGGACCCCTAAAGAAGGACAATGATATATTGCATATTCCAGAGTAGGCAAACCAGACACTCTCCACATCAACACTGACAAAAAGACAACAAGAAATACTGTTTACCCAGAAGCATAAAGAAATTAAATAGATTAGAAACCATTACTTTATTTTCCAGGTCACCAGACTGGGTCACAGCAACGCGTGGCAGGGGACAGCTAGTACTACTACTACTAATAATATGATATTATAATTATATATTTTATATTACATGTAATATTACTAATAATATTACAATATAATGGTATAGTACAATATAGTAATATAATACTGATATTGTACTATGCTAATAATATAATATACTAGCCATCCCCTGCCATATGTTGCTGTGGCCCAGTCTGTGTGTTTTGTGTTAACACTTCCCAGGCAAGGGATGCCCCCAGCCAGCAACATCTGGACTTTGCAGCTGCAAGGCTACTCAATGCTAATCAAGGTGGCCAATGGCAACATTCACACTTGCCTCAAGCAACATTCACACTTGCCTTGGGAAGTCTGACTTGGCCACGGTGGTCCACGCTCTGGTTACATCCTGTCTAGACTACTGCAACGCTCTCTACGTGGGGTTGCCCTTGAAGACTGCTCGGAAGCTTCAAATGGTCCAGCGCTCGGCAGCCAGGTTGCTAACAGGAGCGGCACTCAGGGAGCATACCACTCCTCTGTTGAGCCAGCTCCACTGGCTGCCAATCTGCTACCGGGCACAATTCAAGGTGCTGGCTTTAGCCTATAAAGCCCTAAACGGTTCTGGCCCCACTTACCTCTCCGAACGCATCTCCACCTATGAACCGACTAGAACATTAAGATCGTCTGGGGAGGCCCTGCTCTCAATCCCGCCTGCATCACAGGCGTGCTTGGCGGGGACGAGGGACAGGGCCTTCTCGGTGGTGGCCCCTCGGCTGTGGAATGCCCTACCTGTAGACATCAGAAAGGCCCCTTCGTTGCTGGCGTTCCGGAGGAAGGTGAAGACCTGGTTCTTCGAACAAGCGTTTGGCTAAACAGTGCAATTGAATATAGGAACACGGTGCAATCGAACATAGGAACATGAATCAAAGGATTATGAGAATGGATTCTGATTTGTTGTTGAGGCGTTATGATAATGATTGTTTATTGATATTGATTGTTATGTATAATGTGTTTTAATTGCTTATGATACTGTCTTGATAATTTGTACTATGTAAACCGCTTTGAGTCACCTAAGGGCTGAGAAAAGCGGTATAGAAATAAAGTAAATAAAATAAATAAAGAAATAAGCAGACAAGAGTTCTTTCTCCCACCCTGGACATTATTCCACAGATATATATAAACCCCACTTGCCTCATTCCCACAGACCTCTGAACAAACCTCTGAGGATGCCTGCCATAGATGCACCAGCTCTGCGCTGGCAAGACATAAGCAGGAAAATTGATAACCAGGGTTTTTGGGGACTAGATACCACCTTTAGAAACAAAATTGTGTGCTTCTCTTTAACCGAAGTCATGTATGGGTCTCCATGAGAAATCAAGCAGCTATCATTCTATGTACTTCTCAGCACAGCATCTTAACATTTCATTCCTTTCTTGTTCTTCCCTGTCCTTGAAGGTGTGACCGTGAATGGCCAGTTAATCGGTGCTCCCGCCCCACGTAATGGCCACAAGAAACATAGAACCTACTTCAGGAGCATCACCATTCTCAGTAGCAAACCAGAGAGAGCCTACCTGGAGGTCACGCCCACAAAGCTTATTTTGGATGACGGAAAGAGACTTGTCTTGCCTTGTGACCGCACTGCCATGGTGGCCAGCAAGAACCTCGAGGTCTCCATCTTTGCCCGTTCCAACGTCACCGTGGTCCTCCGGGGCACCATTGGCTTTGTCATTCTGATCCACCATTACAAGAATCCTGCCCCGTACCAGAAGGATCATTTGGGATTCTACGTCTCCAGCAGCAAAGGCCTTTCTACAAACTCCCATGGCCTGATTGGTAAGAAATAGGCGCTCTAGTCTCTAAGGATTTGTGGAGGAACCATAGAATAGAATCATAGAATCATAGAGTTGGAAGAGATCTCATGGGCCATCCAGTCCAACCCCCTGCCTAGAAGTAGGAATATTGCATTCAAAGCACCCCTGACAGATGGCCATCCAGCCTCTGTTTAAAAGCCTCCAAAGAAGGAGCCTAAACCACACTCCGGGGCAGAGAGTTCCACTACTGAACGGCTCTCACAGTCAGGAAGTTCTTCCTAATGTTCTGAGTTAGACCTAATGTTCTGGTTGTGCTGAGTTAGATCAAGTGGTCCAGACATGAAGGAGGGCCAGGGGTGAAGCAAGAAACCAGTGACCTTGCAGGTGATGTAGGCTCCAACTCACATCAGTCACAAATGCACCAACAAGGGTTGGATCAGATGCGAGCTGGATTTTAGCATCATCTGGAAAGCCAGAGATTTCCTGCTCCTGATCTGGCTCTACTTCATTTCTAAACAATAAAAGGAAAATTCTCAGTTATACATAATTGAGAGAGCTGAATCCTGTTAGTTGGAATAAGAGCAAGCACATTGAATTAACCGCTGCATGTTTAGTCAACACATAAGTATATCCAATCAGTTCATTGGATCTACTCTAGTTGGAACTAGCAATAAGCCATTGTATTATTTTTTAATTAAGAAATGTGATGTGCAGACTTATTTCCAACATACACCAGAATGTAATTGCCTTGATTTGCAGCCTTCATCTTGAGAAAACGTCTTAAATGGAGACCATATAGCTAGCTACACTTTCAAGTCTAACTTGTCAGTGTTTGTGTAATGCACAATGTATTTTGTGGGCACGACCTGACTTATTGTCAGGGGAAAACCTTTACCTTTACCTTATGTCTTAAAGTGGCCTTGAATTATTGCCAATTTGGAAGCTGCTCTGAGTCCCCTTCAGGGTTGAGACATAGCGGGATAAAAAAAACAGCAAATAAATAAACAAATAAAGTGGGGAACATGACTTCAAGTTGCTGGTAATCTTTCGTTGACCCATGAAACCCATGGGTTTTCCTTAAGTAAGAAATACTCAACAGTGGTTTGGCCAGCTCCTTCCTCTGAAATAGGATACATCCTGAATAGATTACTGCAACACACGCTATGTGGGGTTGCCTTTGAAGACTGCTTAGAAGCTCCAGCTAGTCCAATGGATGGCAGCCATGATGGAGATTTGCCATAGTGTTGTGAGGGCTAGAGGTTTAGCACAGCTGATAAATCAGCACTTATAGGATCTATCAACCAAAAGGTTGCAAGTTCAAAGCACCGGGTTGGCGTGAGCTGCCAACTGTCAGCCTAGCTCATTGTTTACCTAAGCTATTCGAAAACATCTTTAGCTGTGATTAGAGAAATTAGGCACCACTAAAAGTGGGGGAGTTGTTTCATGATGCCATAAAGAAAGAAGATCAGAAAATGCTGGGTGACCAAAAGGAAGGAGGAAGTCCTGACAGCTCTTCGTCATAGAGGATAGAGCAACAGCAAACCCTGTACTCGAGCCCAACCTACCATGGCACCTCCTTCTGCTCTGTCTGTCTGTGTATTATCTATACAAAGCGGCATTAAATGTTTGCCGTGTATATGTACCGCGAGTACCCTATGGGGTAAGAAAGGTGGAATATAAATAAGGTATTATTATTATTATTATTATTATTATTATTATTATTATTATTCTATAAAAGTGTTCTCAATAATGGCGTATTGCATTTTTTTCACTTTCCCATGGGGCTCTTGCACCTTCAACCTCAGTGAATGAGACAGCTGACTGTATTGTATCTTTGGCCAGTAATTTTTCTGTTTTGTCCTCCTACACAGGTCAGTTCTTACACCAAGATGTTAAACTTACCCAAGAGCCATTGAGACCAAGTCCTTTTACGGGCAGCTGGAACCAAACCAAAGGCGTGGATATGAATTCTGGGAATACATTATTAAAACTGAAAGGGCGTATGGTTCCTGTTGTGTGGAAACAGCGGAAGATCTACAACGGTGAACAGGAAGTGGACTGTTGGTTTGCCAAGAACAATGCAGAGAAACTGATAGATGGATGCTACAAGGATTACTTGGCCTCTCACCCTTTTGACACAGGGACTGGCTACCTGATGGAGAACAGGCTCTGAAGACAAAGAACACGGCTGGTTTTTAACACATGCAGAACCAGTCATCCTCAGAGAGACTCTTGCACTTTGACTGTTAACCACCAAAGAAACCAAAATGATTTCTTCTTTTTTTAAAAAAAAATCAGAATTCAGTTCATAGCAGTCTATTCCATGAGTACTAGGAAGGACGCTTTCAACAAGTGACTCCACTAAGGTTTAATGCTAGGTTAAAACACATCTGCACAGATACATAGTCTTTTATATACATGATTTATTTCAGCAGGAGTCTCAGGACTGCGTCACATGGAAACCTGACATTGCTGATGGGCTAGTGATGGTCCCATTACAAAGTATTATGTGCCTCCCAATATTAGATTGGCTCCCCACTGTGATTCCACCATTCCTGTCTTTCAATGGGCAAAATCCATCTATAGCAGTGGTTCTCAGCCTGTGTGTCCCCAGATGTTTTGGACTACAACTCCCAGAAATCCCAGCGAGTTTACCAGCTGTTAGGATTTCTGGGAGTTGAAGGCCAAAACACCTGGGGACCCCCAGTTTGAGAACCACTGATCTATAGTTTCCAATCCCACAATGTTCATATTGCCTACCTTGGTGCGATGGATCCTTTTCCCTTCTGTGCCAGGATGCCAGCAGTAAAGTGATGTCACAGAGCAGGAGCCTCTCCTCTCCCCTTACTATTCTGGCTATTTTCCTTTAATTTTATACACATCTGTATAAAATACAGATTGTGATTGCACTATTTGATTACTGAAACAGTGCAATTGCTTATATATAGTAGTGCAGAAACAGTGGAGTGGGTTATGAGGATATGTGGAAATATGAGGGTGATCCGGATTTTTTTTTTTGTCGTGTCAGGAGTGACTCCTGGTGTGAGAGAATTGGCTGTCTGCAAGGACGTTGCCCAGGGGACGCCCGAATGATTTGATGTTTTATCATCCTTGTGGGAGGCTTCTCTCATGTCCCCGCATGAGGAGCTGGAGCTGATAGAGGGAGCTCATCCGCCTCTCCCCGGATTCGAACCTGCGACCTGTCGGTCTTCAGTCCTGCCGGCACAGGGGTTTAACCCACTGCGCCAGCGGGAGGTTACAAGATTTTTAAAAAATACAAAGAATGAATATATTTTAATAAAACTTACATGGATTGTAGCATAGGTATGCCATTATTTTCCCACATAATCACAATTCAGTTCAATACATTTTGTCATCAGTGGGATGAGTTTTTGATGCCGCTTCATAGAAGTTTCCTTCCGCCTTTTTCAACTGGTTCGTCACTTTGATTTTCACCTTATCATCGGAAAATTGTTTTCCACCAAAGTGTTCCTTCAATTTAGTGAACGGATGATAGTCACTGGAGCTGTGAGAGGGGTGGCTTAAAATATCCCAGCCAAATGAAGTTAGCAACTCTTGTGTTGCATGAGCGGTGTGCAAATGCACATTGTCATGAAGGAGACAGACTCCCGCCATTACATCCCACCACATTTGTTTTGGATGGCTCTGCCAAGTTTTTCATGGTCTGACAATATATTCCGTACCCATTTTGCCACATGCTGTCTTGACTTTACATCCTCTCCATAAACTGAAATAATTTTGCAATGAATCACAGCGGCGTTCATGTCTTCAGCATTTAGGTAGCATATTATGCTAAGAACTTTGCACTTGAAGGGAAATGGAATGAGGACTCTCATCTCTAACCTTCACCACAACTCCAGTCAATGAGCTACTGACGACTGGCACTGCTCATTCACTTCTGCTGGCTTCCCACTACACAGCAGTGATACCAACTTCCCCCACGAAAATTCCCCATGAGAGTTATGTGCCTTGTAACCTTACTTTCCGCATAATCCTCATATAATTGCAGAACTAGAATGACAAATTGGCACAATTGCATTACTGAAGATATCAAAGGTGCTCAGCCCAGTATGTATCTATCAGCAATAATGTGACCGTAGCAGAATCACGGGTTTGTGTAATAAAGTCCTCAATCCACTTCTTCAGGTGCATTCATTGATCACAAAGTCACAGGCAGTGAAGCCGAGTGACATAAATATGGGACGGGATCACAATGTAATGGGATATTGAAGATACAAATTGTCACGGTGCTATAAATTTTCAGATAACTCTGTTTTTGACAATTTGCATCTCTTTTTTTGTATCCTATGCACCAGGCATGGGCCCTCCAGGTGTTTTGGATTTCAACTCCCACAATTCCTAACAGCCTATAGGCTGTTAGGAATTGTGGGAGTCAAAGTCCAAAACAACTGGAAAGCCGAAGTTTGCCCATGCCTGCTATACACTCTCAACTATGTAGCTTAAGTACCTGCGACATTATCTTTTACTCCACCATCTGAAGAAGTGGATTGATATAACAGAAGCATATGGCAAAATAAATCAGTCTTAAAGGTGTCATGAATGACTACCACAATGTCTTTTTTTATACATGTACTGAGAAAGATTAACATGGTTACATCTTTTTAAAACACTGTTGTTGTTCTTGTTGTTGTTGTTGTTGTTGTGTGATTTTGATTCATTTTGTTCATAATATACAAAGAAGGGTGGGTAATGGAATAAGAGATCCAAAAGATAGCTTTTACTAGCTGGTTCATAGAGGGAGATACGAGGGGTATTTTTTAAGTAAGGTCCGTTTTGTTGTAGACACTAGTTTGTTGTTGTTGTTCATTCGTTCAGTCGTCTCCGACTCTTCGTGACCTCATGGACCAGCCCACGCCAGAGCTCCCTGTCGGCCGTTACCACCCCCAGCTCTCAAGGTCAGTCCAGTCACTTCAAGGATGCCATCCATCCATCTTGCCCTTGGTCGGCCCCTCTTCCTTTTACCTTCCACCTTTCCCAGCATAATTGTCTTCTCTAGGCTTTGCTGTCTCCTCATGATGTGGCCAAAGTACTTCAGCTTTGTCTCTAGTATCCTTCCCTCCAATGAGCAGTCGGGCTTTATTTCCTGGAGGATGGACTGGTTGGATCTTCTCGCAGTCCAAGGCACTCTCAGCACTTTCCTCCAACACCACAGCTCAAAAGCATCGATCTTCCTTCGCTCAGCCTTCCCTAAGGTCCAGCTCTCACATCCGTAGGTGACTACAGGGAATACCATGGCTTTGACTAGGCGGATCTTTGTTGCCAGTCTGATGTCTCTACTCTTCACTATTTTATCGAGACTGGACATTGCTCTCCTCCCAAGAAGTAAGCGTCTTCTGATTTCCTGGCTACAGTCTGCATCTGCAGTAATCCTTGCACCTAGAAATACAAAGTCTGTCACGGCCTCCACGGTTTCTCCCTCTATTTTCCAGTTGTCGATCATTCTTGTTGCCATAATCTTGGTTTTTTTGACGTTTAGCTGCAACCCGGCTTTTGCGCTTTCTTCTTTCACCTTGATTAGAAGGCTCCTCAGCTCCTCCTCGCTTTCGGCCATCAAAGTGGTGTCATCTGCATATCTAAGGTTGTTAATGTTTCTTCCAGCAATTTGCCCCCCAGCCTTGCATTCATCAAGCCCGCACATCGCATGATGTGTTCTGCATACAAGTTAAAAAGGTTGGGTGAGAGGATGCAGCCTTGGCGTACGCCTTTCCCAATCTTGAACCAGTCTGTTGTTCCGTGGTCAGTTCTTACTGTTGCTACTTGGTCCTTGTACAGATTCCTCAGGAGAGAGACAAGGTGCTTGGTATGCCCATCCCACTAAGAACTTGCCACAATTTATTATGATCCACACAGTCAAAGGCTTTAGAATAGTCAATGAAGCAGAAGTAGATGTTTTTCTGAAACTCCCTGCCTTTCTCTATTATCCAGCGGATATTGGCAATCTGGTCTCTCGTTCCTCTGCCTTTTCTAAACCCAGCTTGAACATCTGGCAACTCTCGCTCCATGTATTGCTGGAGTCTTCCTTGCAGGATCTTGAGCATTACCTTACTGGCATGAGAAATAAGGGCCACTGTACGGAAGTTTGAGCAGTCTTTCACATTTCCCTTTTTTGGTATGGGGATATAAGTTGATTTTTTCCAGTCTGATGGCCATTCTTGTGTTTTCCATATTTGCCTTGACAGCATCATCTTTTAAGATTTTAAACAGTTCAGCTGGGATCCCGTCGTCTCCTGCTGCCTTGTTGTTAGCAATGCTTCTTAAGGCCCATTCAACCTCACTCCTCAGGATGTCTGCTTCTAATTCATTCACCACACCGTCAAAACTATCCTCAATATTATTATCCTTCCTATACAGATCTTCTGTATAGTCTCGCCACCTTCTCTTGATCTCTTCAGCTTCTGTTAGGTCCCTGCCATCTTTGTTTCTTATCATACCAATTTTTGCCTGAAATTTACCTCCAATGTTTCTAATTTTCTGGAAGAGGTCTCTTGTCCTTCCTATTCTGTTGTCTTCTTCCACTTCCATGCATTGCTTATTTAAAAATAGTTCCTTATCTCTTCTGGCTAACCTCTGGAATTGCGCATTTAACTGGGCATATCTCCCCTTATCACTGTTTCCTTTTGCTTTCCTCCTTTCTTGGGCTACTTCCAGTGTCTCAGCAGACAACCATTTTGCCTTCTTGGTTTTCTTTTTCTTTGGGAGTACTTTGTTGCCGCCTCCTGAACAATGTCGCGGACTTCTGTCCATAGTTCTTCTGGGACTCTGTTTACTAAATCTAGTCCTTCAAATCTGTTCTTCACTTCCACGGTATATTCGCTAGGAATGTTAGTGAGATCATATCTAACTGGTCTGTGTATTTTCCCTGATCTCTTTAGTTTTATTCTAAATTGGGCAATAAGAAGTTCGTGATCTGAGCTACAGTCAGCCCCAGGTCTTGTTTTCACCGACTGGATGGATGTCCGCCACCTTTGGCTGCAAAGGATGTAGTCAATCTGATTTCGGTGTTGACCGTCTGGTGAGGTCCATGTATAAAGCCGTCTTTTAGGTTGTTGGAAGAGAGTAGTAGTTATACACAGCGAGTTTTCCTGGCAAAATTCTATCAGCCTGCGTCCCGCTTCATTTTGTTCTCCCAGACCATGCTTGCCTGTGACCCTGTTGTCATTTGACTTCCCACCTTGGCATTCCAGTCTCCTGTAATGAAAATAATGTCTCTTTTTGGTGTATTATCCAGTAGGTCCTGCAGATCCTCATAGAACTGATCTACTTCTGCTTTTTCAGCAGCTGTGGTTGGGGCGTATATTTGGATCACTGTAATGTTGAAAGGCTTTCCTTGCACTCGAATTGAGATCATTCTGTCATTTTTTGGGTTGTATCCAAGCACCGCTTTAGCGAATTTCTTATTAATTATGAAGGCTCCTCCATTTCTTCGATGTTCCTCTTGTCCGCAGTAGTAGATCTGGTGGTCATCTGATGTGAAGTGGCCCATTCCAGTCCATTTCAGTTCGCTGACCCCCAGAATGTCTATCTTTAGTCTTGACATCTCACCAATAACAACATCCAATTTGCCCTGGCTCATAGATCTTACATTCCAGGTTCCTATGGTGTGTTGATCTTTAGAGCATCGGATTCGTTGTTCACCTCCAGTACCGTCGGCCGCTAGCCTTCCTTTCGGCTTTGAGCTAGCTGCGTCATCACATCTGGGGCTAGTTGAACTTATCCTCTGCTCCTCCCCAGTAGCATTTTGGCCATCTTCCGACCTGGGAGTCCCATCTTCCAATGGCATACCGACATATCTCTGGTTGTACTGGTCCATTTAGTTTTCTTGGCAAGGATACGGAGTGGTTTGCCATTGCCTTCCCCAGGGATCACGCTTGGTCTGACCTCTCTGCCACAACCGTCCCGTCTTGGGTGTCCCTTCACGGTTTCGCTCATAACATCATTGAGGTGCTCAAGCTCCAGCGCCCCGACAAGGCGGTGATCCTTTGCTGGAGGTAGACACTAGTAGTTCACGCATATCGCAACAAGTAGACACTAGTAGTTCACGCATATCGCAACAAGCATGTGCGTTGTGTACCGGCATGCCTCAGGAACAACTGTGCTCAGTTTCCGCTCTGTAGCTAACCTGTACGGTTCTGTTCTGTGCTTTAAAAATGTT